AGAGGTGAGGCACCTAATCACCAACCTCCCATTCCCCCCTTCCACATCCACCTCCATGCCACCACCACCATCGGCCTCCACCGACTACGCCACCAAAGGGGACATGCACGCTCTGTCCTGGGCACTGGTTTCTTCGTTCRAYGAAATCAGTGCCAGATTTGTTCATCGGGCCATCCAACCAACCAGGGCCTTAACTCAAACATTGGCCGATGAACAGCGTCGTACCACCTCTCTCCTCAAATCAATGGAGACAATGCGGAGACGAGCATCCCTGAGGGAGTATCTCAAAGCCCTCAGGAGGGACAAGAAGAAGAAGAGGTCTCAAGCCTCTTGCTCAAGCAGCCGTCCGTCTAAACGACGACGCCACGATGACCAAGACCCCGATGATCAAGGCCTTGGCCCTCATGAGGGGGAGAATGAAGAGACGGATGCACAAACAACAACATCTGCTGCACCACAGCAACCAACACCACAACCACCACCACCACAGCAACCACCACCACACCAACAAGCACCCCAAGGAACCCAAGCTAAGGAACCAGAGGCTTTGTCCTCTGATGATGTACATATTGTATATGTTTCCTTAGCAACAATCCCAGCAGACACCATCGTGTTGAGCTCTTCAACCGATGAAGAAACTTCAACCCCACAAACACAAACAAGTCAACCTACTTCCTCACCTACATCAAACTTACCCTTAACCCCATCATCTACACCATGCACAACTCAACCCTTTACCTTTTACACCTCACCAGAAACAACCCAACAAGCCTCACCCCAACAACCAGAACAAACAACAACCCAAACCTCTTCTCCTACACAACCTGAACCCACAAGTACTCATCCTTCATCACCCCAACCAACAGAAACCCATCAACCTGAACCCACAAGTACCCATCCTTCATCACCCCAACCAACAGAAACCCATGAACCTGAACCCACTCATCCAACCCAACCCGTGGTGCAAGTAGATATTCCATCTTCCTCTAGGCATCCTCCAGCAGGCCTAGTGGATAAAATAATTCAGCAAATGAAGTCAATGAGAAGAATACCTCAAGCGCCAACCAGGGAGCCTGTATTGATGGAGAATATCCATCAATACCTATATCGTGATCGTGAAGAAAGCCTGTTAACCAATCCGCCTATTTTATCGCCAGAATCGATGAATCTTCTGCACCATCGTTTTGTAAGACAGACAACTCAAGATCCGCGTGCTGTCTTTTCAAACGATGGTATAAGAAGAGTTATTGATTTAAAAATCAGATCATTCGCCAACAGAGCCATAAGATATATCGAGTTCAGCATGGAAAGAGCTCATGGGGAAGTTAACGTCTTCAACGAGAACGACCTCATCAATCTCAATTTATATGACTTGATGGAGTCATATGCCTACACAGCTCAATGACATGATCATGGAATAAGGTTTGGAATGGCGAACAGAGCTGTTGTTAAGACGATGGAGTCCCTGGTACAGCTAAGAGCGAAGACAGATTTCGAAATCGCGCTAAGGCTGGGCATTGAGAGACTTTCCTGCACTCCACCGAATGAAGAACTCCAAGGCCTGCAAGAGATACGTTCTGCCTCTGTTCTGTCTCAACCCGAACTCGGACTTGTTTACAAGGATGGGTTTAGGGTTAAGAAGTTCTTCAGAAGATCTGAAGCCTTCAAGTATTCAACAGAAACACTTGAATGGTTTCAAAAAATTATAGAGACAGACTGGGTAGAAGTTACGTGCCAAGGGAAGTTGGAAACCAGCTCATCCAAGACATTTCAACTATCATATCTTTCAGAGGATTACTACTACGCTTCAGAGAGATATACACTGGTAATCATTGAGCTGAAATTTTTTTTGCCTTGTTGTAAATATTTGTTTCCAGTCTTGTAAAGAATTCGTCATCCAATCAAAAATTTGGAATTTGATGATTTTCTTATAGATTAGTGTTTGGTCTTCATATGTGATTAGATTAAACCTTGTTATTTCATTACTTAGGGGGAGATCGTTAGACTCCATAATGCAAAATGTAAAAAGTAATGAAAAACAATAAGTGATGAAGAACCAGAAGATCGATGAAAACATCAAGGCAGAGAAAGTATATCCAGCGGATCAATGGACAGACTATCCAGAGCTTCGATGGAAAGTATATCCAGCGGACCGATGGATCAAGTACATCCAGCGGATCGATGGACAAATCGATGGAAAGTGTTCATCGATACAATGGAGCAGTTCAACACTTAGAAGAATTTCTAAGTATTCATCCAAGCGTACATTGAAGACTTGAAGATAAGGATGAAATCATCTATTCAATAATGACAGTTGGTGATGACTAATCAACAACTGGAATTATAGTTTATCTTGTAATATATGATTATCCATGTAATAGATAGACCTTATCTGTTAGCTAGACTATCTGCTAGAAAGTAGCAATATATAGTTATCTAGACATTAGCTAACTAGTATAAATAGACGACTAGGTCTATTATTTAGAAACATGCATAAACGCATGCACACATACACGCATATACGTGCATAAGGTTTTTACTCTGTATTCACGGTTTATTATTCARTAAAACCTTTGAAACTCAAAACTGTTCTTTCTTATTCATAATCTATTTTTGAGTTTTATTTACTTTCTTTATTAAAACAGTATAATTTGGTTATTCATAACTAAATTATTATTGTTATTTGAGAGATCTGGGATCAACATCCTCTCTTTCTCTCTCTACTCTCTACAGGATTCTGCTTAACCATGAGCAATCTTGTCAACTAAAGAGGATTCTTGTCAAAGATTCCAGAGAAATGAAAAGCTCTCCTTTAGCTTTGATCTGTGAAGCTTCTTCAGCAGAAACCCATACTACCCCTTTTATTTCTTCTCTTCCTCTTGTTGTTATTACAGAGATAGACTCTTCTATCTCTAAGGATATTCCAGAATCTGATCTAGCATATTTTGATGAATCCCTAGCCCTCTTGACTAAATCTTTCATGAGGTTCGCCAACAAAAGCAACTACCACAGATCTCCTTAGCTATCCATCAGGGAAAAGCCAAAGTCTAAAAGAATAGACAAGGCTTCAGTAGTCTGCTACAATTGTCACTGGCCTGGACATTTTGCAGGTGAATGCAGATCGAAGAAAGCTGCGACGCCATCTTCCAAAACCCCATCCTCCTTCAGGACTAAGGATGAAAAGTACTTAAAACTGAAGGAGAAGTACAGGAAGGTGAAGAACAACCAGCGAAAGGCTAAGGGCCTTGTTGCTGAAGAGCATGACTGGGCTGACTCATCCGATGAATCATCTTTAGATGAGGAAGATACAATCGATCTTTGCTTGATGGACAAAGATGCAAATGAAGAGTCTTCAGGAGCATCTACTTCTTCTGAGCCATATACCTCTTCTACTACTCAGATATGTTTCTTGAATGAACCCTCTTCTTCTTCTAGCCTATCCGCACTAGATATGTTGACGGTTGATCTTTACAATGCCCTCAATGGCAAATCTAAAGCATAAATGCTTAATGTTGATCTTCAAGAACAGTTGAAGATTTGTCATTCTAAGATCAAAGAGCTGACCTTTGTTGAAGAAAATCTTAAGGATCAGGTCATTATAAACCAAGCCATCACCGTTGAACGCGAAAAGGCTATCGCTAAGCGTGAGCGAGCAATTGCTGAACTTAAGGCTGAGAAAGCTACCATTGTAGGATGGT